AATAATTACGATCAAGCTCGTACTCCAGCTGCTGTTATTATTTTTCAGTCCCAACGACAACGACAATTATTGTCCTTGAGAAAGGTTAGATTTCCGATGAAAAAACTGTTTATAACTCGATTATTTATTCAATCATTTCAAACCAATCCTAAGAACAAAATCAACACATTCATTTTTAATCCTCAGTCTACCACAAGTTTAAATGATTGAAACAATTATTATCTGATCACGTCCAAAGCTTAAATCTTATCCATTTTTGCTAGAACCACTATATTGGATTTTAAAATGGAGTCATACAACGATTTCTGACCTCACAACCTCATCCCAGTTCCAAAAATAATCTTACTGTAGGGGTTTTTTTAAACAGTTTTTTTTAGAGCCGGAAGGATGTCATTTAGGATTCCAAAATTTAAAAAAAAAATCCATATTCCCCATCTTAGACTTCAGCAGCCATTTTGAGTTAATAAAAATGTATCTAACAAACATTAACGGCCTCTGCACGCCGTCCTTGTTGAAAAATACTCATATCGATGTAAATACCCATCACAAATTATTTATAAATGGAAGCCCTCATCTAGAATTTTAGAAAACTGGCAGTGGAACAAATTTTAAATGATAGATTCTGCTTTTATACCCTTCGAAGAATTGAAACACCCTCCAAAGGCACGCCACGTCAGTTAAAATCAGATTTCTTAACAACCAAATCCAGCAATGACACCGATATTGACCTCGCATCAGAATCCTAGTCTTAACAACTTCAAACTAGAGAACAACGAATAAAATATTAGGAATCACATGGATGAAAAATAACTTATTTTTCCGTGGTTCAATTAGCATTGGGCGATCTTGGTGAATCGATTTTTTTTTTTGAAGATTATCGATTCATCAATTCAATCAATCATTTTGAGTCGATCTTTTTGAATCAAATCATTTTTCAAAATGCACAAAAATGTTTCAAATATAATGGGTCATAGGAAAGTTGGTGCAGATTAACGCCTAGTTCCGTCTAATGTTGATATTACGTTTCATAAGCTATCTTTTTATGACATTTCACTTAAATGACTATGATTTTTAGTGTGATGATTGATATCGTTTAAAAATAAATTGTGTAGTAAAAGTTGTGAGTGTAACATAAATACATACATGATGAGAATGTAGTAAATGACTGTTTTGATTTCATTTGCTCAGCATGCTTGATTAGGTAAGTGATTTAACAGGTTTTAATATTCGTTTCATTGGTACGAAATGAACGATTAAAAAATGCGAAAGATTAACATATGAAACAAAACGATTAGATGGTTCGAGTTTTAAAGTAGTTAAGTACGGAAAGTACTTAAAAAGATTCTCTCGACCGGACCGGGAATCGAACCCGCCGCCTCCGGCTTGGTAATACCGTGCCTTTACTGACTAGGCTATGAGGCCTCGTGTTGCACGTCAGTAATTCTATTTTTGGTTTGAAGAAATAATTTTTCATTTACAATTGCCTAAATGTAAGTAATTCTATTTTTGGTTTGATGAAATATTTTTTCGTTGACAATTGCTTCGAAAATATTAGGAATGCAAAAAATGCTGGTTATTTCACGGTAAGTAGGTACATCAGATTTTCGGTCAGATTTAAAAATAAGCTCTAGAAATGAGCTTTTTCAAATTTTTGGGAAGGCTACGGATTCCAGAGACATATTATAAAGTCAAAACAATGGAGCACTGAGTTCCATTGTGTTACCGTTGGTAACACTTATTTCATATTTGACGTAGGACTACGTCTGTGATTTCTATATGGGGTACACTTTGTGAAAACCGAAAATGGAATATATAACAAAATTATGAAATATTGTGAACGTTAATAACTGAGCTGTCCCTGGACAAATTTCAATAATTTTATCACCAATCGATCAGAAATATTTATACGCATTAACATATGCGAATTAAGAATTTTCTCATTTTTCAAAATGTCACTATTGAAATTGGCATCAGCAGCAGCGACAGCAGCAGTGCTTTTGGCGCGTAGCGTTGAACACTGTTCTCCAGTACACAACGAAAGCTGCATCCCACATGAGCATCCATAGAAGGAGGAAGAAGCCGCACCGCTATTGATCGGAATCAGTAGATCTTCGTGAGTCGCTGTGGGCCATCTATGCCAGCTCACCAGCTTCATCTGTGTTAAACACCCTAATATCTCAGCATTACTCAACCATCACGACAAAACGGTCCTTTTCAGGAACACCATACATTTGTAAAAGAGTATTTTTTGGACATTTGTCAACATTAATTGGATGTCAGTTCCCATATCAAGAAAGAGCTGGAATTATGATGATGTCTTAAAAGCCAAGGCTCGCCCACGCAAATCAACAACACCATCAGGTAGGGCAAGACTTCCTTTACCCGACGGTAATGTTGGTTTGCATGGGCGTGCCTTGAATTTCTAAAAATCATCTAGAGAAATAATTGTTTAGACAACATTGCGGGTTCAATTTCAAAAACAAAAGTCGGTTGTGGCATGAAATTGGTTTGATTCTGTCCAGAGATAATGGATTTTAATTCTTAATACGCCAATCGAAAGGATTTTTTTCTACGAACCTGTTAAAATTAAGACTTTAGAATTTTTCAACATGTCACTTTGTGTTCTCCTGTACACAACGAAAGGCTTCCTTCAAGCAGCAAGCTTCAGCCAACATGAGCATCCATAGAAGGAGAAAGAAGTCGCACCGCTATTGATCGGAATCAGTAGCTCTTTGTGAGTAGATGTGGGCCATATATGCCAAGCGCGTCATACTAAAGAGTATAAGCAGAGAGAGGCCCGCTCAAATTCCTATTCCTACACAAAACACAAGCTCTTGCTGCAGTTAAAAAATAACATTTATTATATGAGACCACATAGTCCTACGTTACCATTGCGTACAACCTCATAGGGCTGTCCCTTGTAGTGTTTTGGATCGAAACAAAAATTGAATTAAATGGATCGATCCAGTCGATTTTTGTCGTGTTTGAGATCGATTCAAAAAATCGATCAATCGTACCAAAAGAATCGATATTTTGTGTTTCGATTCAAGATCGCCCATTGCAAGGTTCAATATCGGTGAAAAACCCGAATTTTGTCACTAATTAGCAAGGCATAAACAATAACAAGGGCTAAGATGTATTCCTTTGATTGAAAAAAAAAATCCTATTCCCCTAGTTTGAAGTAGTTAGGAGCAGGCTTTGGTGGTAGATCTTATACCAGTAACGCATAACGAAAAAGTGATCTACCAGCATTACTGGGCTATAATGATATTTTGTAATTTTAGGATACAAGAAGAGGTGGTGATGTATATGCTTGACACATGAAACCTGACAATTTTGCATTCAGATACTGCATCAGCAATTTTGTGATTCATGAGCGTTCATTCAGAGAGATCTCTCACGAGTTATAACATCGCTTCTTGCAACCTTCTGGTCCAATGACCATCTTTAATTTATTGTATACGTTTCAAGATCGCATCTAGGGATCTCTCTCTTTACACAATACCTTCCTTCTAGGAGTTATCCGTAATACTCTATACTATGTTTTAGTCAATGTAGACCTCAATTCTGGTCAAGTTTTATTGAAAATGTATCCTGCAACCAATCGTGAGAAAATTTAAAAAAATATATTCTTTTTTTATTTTGCTATAGGAAAGCTAAATGGATCTAGATCGTTATAATTTACAGCATCGTTTCATATTTGCTTGGAAATTATTCGAAAAAAAAGTATGCAAAATTATCTCAAAGACCGAAACAATAAATTGAGCAGCAGAGGGTTACGGTAATGGAAATTGTTTCTCTGGTATTGGAATAGGTAATACACCCCAAACAATTAATTCAAATCTTCTTCTTCTGCTTTGAAACGTCTATAATAAACAATTTGAAAGGTGGCGCCCACACTCTTTCCCCTTTCACCATGAAGATCTTTTCTTTGCGACGCTATTAATGTCCTACTAATTTGACTTGAAATAACCTCAAATCCTCAAAGCTTAAGTTTAGTGAAGAAATTTTGTCTGCTCTTCAATCGCGATTAGGATCAACTCGGCTCAGCACCAAACGGCCGGAAATTCCCCCACTAAACGCAAATTAATTGCCCAGCTGACCGTACGGATTTTCCTTCTCGTCTGAGGTGAAAGCGACCCGCTGAGGTAGATATGCTCCGGAGATTGGCACCTACACGACACGGGACACGCTCGATAGGACGGGACTTTGTGAGCTGAGCAGGAAGAAGAATACAAGAAATTACTTCGAAACATCGGAAAACCAATTAACATTATTTGCTCTCTTTCGAAAAATGTTTCGCAGCTTTTCTCCCTTCCCCAGTTGAAATCGGAATAAAACTTGAAAAATACGTTCTGAGAGATAGCTGGGGCAAACTTCCATCGCTATTCATTGGAAAACTTTCAGCGCTCGTTCTTAATTTATTCCCCCCACTATCTGCAATCATTTCCGGGTCTTCAGGTTGTTGTTGGGGTGTGGGATCCGAGGGGAAAGTGATTTTTTTTTTCGATGCACCAAACGCTACCAGAGACCGATGATGACGATGGCAGAATATTAATTCCCAAGGTGGCCATCCTCGGTGATGGTGATGAAAAATGAATTGTTTCTGTTGGATCAAGCAGAGGAATATTGACGACAAGCGAAAGCAAAAAAAAAAAATGCGGGACGACGATGGAACAAGAAGCGGGAAATGAGCAACCAATAGATTGCTTCCGCTGTTTTCCGGTAGACAGTGGGAAATTAATGACTGTCGCCTGGATGGGTGCTCGTAGTGCTGATTTATGAGTTGTTTTTATGTTGTTTTGTTTGAAACTGATCAAACACGGTTTGTTCTTAAGCTTTATATACAAAGAAGAAGAAGAAGAAGAAGACACTTTATTCGGGTTCACACATCAATGTTAAAGTCTTCAAATTCGCATCAACATCAAACGCCAATTTTCTAACCTTACCTTCAATGTCACAAACTTATGCTCTCCTTCTTTCTTTTCACTCTCCTGCAGGTTTCCCCCCTCCACTCGACGCACTGGAAAGCCATCATCGTCATTGTTCAACTCGATACTTTGTGTACAACTTTGAAGAAGTCTTCAAAGTACATATAAATACGTTGTAGGAAAAGAAAAGGTTCCGGATAGCAGCGAAGCAATAAGCTCCAGTTACTTTTCAACACAAAACGCAATAACAATGGCTGCCACATTGCGATCCGGAGGTAAGTTTTCCTGTGTTTTCATTCCAACAAGGACTCCTACTTCTTGACAAGCTACTGGCTTCATCGTGGTAGCATACACTGTAACCATGAGCCATTTCCTGTGTGTGTAGAGTTACTGAAACCGGTTAAAGGAAGCTTCACAAGAACATTTAGGAACGATAGGGAAAAAAAAAATAAAAACAGGTCACAGCCTCATCCTCTCAAGGTGTTTTCCTACCGCGTTTGTATTTCTCTGCACTTAACCTAGGATGTTGTTTTTACATTTCGTCCTCGTTGGCCTTTTGCGGGCAATGTAAAGCTTACGCTTATATGGTTTTGGGGACGGCCTTTCCCAAAACAAAAAAAAAAAACGAATGCCACCTGCACAGTATAAATGAGCTTATCGGATGCCAATTACCGTACTGCTGCTGCTACTGCTGCGACACAGCCGCTTTACTCATCCGGTGGAGGCCTTTCGCTTCACGGCAGGAGGGACGGTAGCAAAATGTTCGCTCGTTTTATGGGGTACTTTCGGGACCCAAATGAGTGCGAAAATGGTTGCGATTTTGCGGTAGTAAAGTCGATCGAAGATGTTATCGGTAGTTACAATGCAGCTACCCATGGTTCGGTGATTTATTTAACTTGCTAGTGCTGGACTTCGTAGTGCTGGAGCTAGCAGGTTGTTCGAGGGTTTAGGCAAAAAAAAAAATAAGGGATGATTGTTTCTAAAGGGTGTCAACGATGACAATAGACAACACCAAAATCAATCACTTGAACTTCCAAGAAATGAGGGAAAACATACTGGTAAATGGTGACGTCATTAAATTGAATTTATCACTAAGGAAAACTATTAAGCCGAATGGGATATTACCGCATTTTGAGTCAAAGATTGAACCTAACGTATTTGTTTAATTCACGACACTGGGGATCCGTCGAAACCTAACCCGTTCCAGCATGTAAAATAAAGGGAACTCGTGACAGCGACTTATTTGGAAAAAGTTTTCGGACCTTTCGAGTGGACGAGTAAAGAACACGCGCATGGGTACGTTTTGTACTTTCCGTGGTTGTATTTCAACTAACTATTATAAAACAACTCTAACTGCTACCTTCATGGCGTAAATGTGTTGTGTGTGGAAACAATGGATATGTGAATGTGTTTAGAAATAATTGATAGGCATATCATTTCCTGCTATCAGTAACGAGGTAAACTGTGGTAAACAGTAGTGCGATTCTAGTGTGTATTACTTCTCAACCCTACACTGGTATTCAAAAAGAACAGAAATAAATTCACTTCTGCGACACACCGGGCCCCGTTGAAACCGTCCGTTTCAACATTATGGTTGTAGCTGCTCATCTGTTGGCGGACGATCTTCAGTAGTGATGTCATCGACTGCGGAATCTATCGGCAGTATTTTGATCTCCGTCACTGCTCGATTGTAGAGTCCACGGCCCGTTCGTACAAGAACCACTCTCACTAGCCCGTCGTGACCGGCATACGTCTCCATGACTCTTCCAAGATTCCACATGAATGGGGGAAGGTTATCTTGCTTGAGCAAGACTAAGGCTCCAACCTGAATGTTTGTGGTTGCCCTTTTCCACTTGGACCGCTGGTGGAGCTGGCTGATGTAGTCTCTGGACCACCTGTTCCAAAAATCCTGGACAGAGCGACGCATTGTCTGTAAACGAGAAAGCCGGTTCGTGGTGATGTTAGTGACATCCGGTTCAGGGATTGAAAACATTGGTTCCCCGATCAGGAAGTGTCCGGGCGTCAAAACAGCAAGGTCATCTGGGTGGTCCGTTAGGGGTGTGAGAGGCCTGGAGTTTAGGATGCTCTCGATGTGAATTGTTGCCGTGGAAAATTTGTCCAAGGTAAAGGAATGTCCTCCAAAAATACGACGAAAGTGAAATTTAAATGATTTCACCCCAGCCTCCCACAGACCCCCGAAGTGTGGAGAACGAGCCGGAATGAAGCGGAAGCTTATTCCGGAATCGATGCAATAGTTCTTCCACTCATCTGACTTGAACTGGTCAAGGTACCGATGACGTAACGCGGCCAACTCGCGATCAGCCCCGACGAAAGCTGTCGCGTTATCGCAATGTAGCTCGATTAACCGGCCGCGTCGAGCTACGAATCGTTTGATCGCGTTGATACACGTGGCGGTCGTAAGGTCAGGAACGATTTCGAAATGCACCGCTTTTACCGCCAGGCAGACGAACACCGCGACGTACATTTTCACGTTTGCCCCCCTCCCATACAAAGGACGAACGTTGAATGGCTCGCAGTAATCAAGTCCAGTTTTTGAGAAAACTCGCGATGGGACTACCCTGGCTACAGGTAGTGGTGCCATCTGTTGATGGTAATCATCTGGCCGACAACGAAAGCATGTAACACAATTTCGTACCATCTTGCGAACCAGATCACGGCCTCGCAATGGCCAAAACCGCTGGCGAATGGTTGCCAGTAGCAAATTGGGACCAGAGTGTGCCGTCCTCAAGTGTAAGGACCGAGCAACTAAAGTGACGAACTGGTGATTTGCTGGTAATACTAGTGGATGTTTTGAATCAAAGGGACCAGCTATATTTTTCAGGCAACCGTCGATGCGAAGTAGACCCTGCTCATCGAGAAACACGTTCAAGTTCTTCAAGGGTTTTTTGCTATCAAACTCATGTTTTTTGTGTTGTAGTTGATGAATTTCTTTAGCAAAATTAGTTACCTGCGCTAGCCGTACCAGTGCTTTCAACGCCTCCGCTGGTCTTAAGTTTCCGGAAAATTGCTCAGCCTTTGGAAGCTGAAAATTGTTGCTGAAACGGATACACATTGCCACTACTTTCAGCAGCTTTCCCAGCTCGGAATACCGTTCGAAGATGGAATCGTCGACTGCAACTGCTGCTAGGACGACGGTGCTGCCCTTTTCCTGTTCGGCGTCATTTATTGTCGATGAACACGATGGAATTTTTGGCCAAGCTTCTGTTTTTTTTTGTGAGGAATTGCGGCCCCTGCCACCATAGGGAATCGTTATGGATTTGGCTGGGTTGTATTCCTCGCGATATACGATCTGCTGGGTTACATTCCGATGGGACGTATTTCCACAATCCTTGCGTAAGGCGATGGATCTCTGCTGCTTGGTTTGAGATGAACACTTTCCATTCGTTCGGCGGGGAATGAATCCAGTGCAGCACAACCGTGCTGTCCGACCAAAAGACAGCGGCAGTTGAGAAATCCGTGTTTGTTTACAGGCTGCCCAGCACTGCAGCACATAGTAATTCCAGCCTGGGTATGGACAGCCCACGAAGAGGTGCGATACGAGATTTTGCTATGAGCAGCTTCCTTTCGATGATTCCATTCACGTTCGGACCCACGACGTAAATGCAGCATCCATAGCCCTTTGATGACGCATCGCAAAAACAATGCAGCTGGTATTCACGACGACAGTTTGGAAGTGCATATCGAGGTACGTTTATCTCCTTCAGTTGGTCCAGTTCACTTCGAAAACATTTCCACCAGCGACTTTCTGGTTCTGGCAACTCTTTGTCCCAAGTCAACCGTTTCGCCCACAGTGCCTGGACGAATATGCTGGCGCTGATTACCATGGGTCCCAAAAGTCCAAGCGGGTCGAAGAGCCGGGACATTTCTGAGACCACGATGCGCTTTGTCACGACATCTACATTCTGCAGCATAGGAACCTGGAACCCGAATTGATCCGTGGTTGGGTTCCATAACAGCCCAAGTGCTTTCGTCACTGTATTCTGACCAATCTCCGTCTGAGCAGACGTCCCCCAAAAGTCCCGAGGGATATGTTGCAGCACCTGCAAATCATTTGCACACCACTTTCGTAACGTGAACCCTCCTTGAGCGAGGAGATTCTGTAGCTGACGACAATTTTCTGCTACTTCTTGTAGATTATCCCCTCCGGCCAGGAAATCGTCGACGTAAAAGCGTTTTTCGACGACCGGTGCAGCTAGAGGATATCGTTCACCTTCCTCCTCGGCTAGTTTGTTCAGTACACGTGCTGCTTGGTACGGGGAACATGCGAGCCCATATGTCACGGTTTTTAACTGGTAGAATTTCAGCGGCAACGAAGGATCCGACCTCCAAACGATCTTTAGGAACTTTCGGTCGTCCGGATGCGTCCATACCTGCCGGAACATCTTCTCAGCGTCCGCCGAAAACACATACCTTGGAATTCGGAAATTTACTACTGTCACCAGCAAGGCAGGCTGGACTGTAGGACCGGTGAAAAGTACTTCATTCAAAGACAGTTGTCCGTGGGATTTGTTGCTGGCATCAAAAACGACCCGTGTTTTCGTAGTGGTGCACTCAGGCCGACGAATAGCGTGATGAGGGAGAAAAACCTGCGGGCTCGCGACGCGAGAACACTCTTCCATATGCCCTAGCCGTATGTAGTCCTCCATGAACTTATTATACTCGTCTCGTAGCTCGTTGTCCTTGGCGAACCGTTTCTCCATCAACGAAAAGCGATTTAGCGCCGACTTGCAGGAATCACCCAGTAGTGGAATCAGAGATTCTCTAAATGGTAATCGCACCACATAACGTCCACTTTCATCCCGTGACACGGTGCGATTGAAATGGTCTTCGACGTACTGTTCCTCTTGTGTCAGAGTCTTTCCTACGTCAAAATCCTCAACCTCCCACAATCGTTCGAGCTGGGAGTTGAGATCTTGGTTCGTGGTCACGTGGCACACCACCGTCTCGAAAGCCTGGGTTGTAGCCTTCCCAGAGACGACGTATCCTAATACTGTTTTCTGTAATGTAGGACATTGATCAGCTAGCGTTATTTGTTGGGAATGGAGAAGGGTATAAAATAGTTCCGCTCCAATAATGAGACAAGGGTAGGTTGCGAGGAACATTCCAACGAGATATATCGAAATTGCGGCTGGGAAGACTCACTGTTAATCGGGGTAACACTAGGCATTCGAGCTGTTGTTCGAAACCCCCGAAACGAGATGCAAACGTAACATCCCAACAAACAATTTTAGCTGCAGACTAGCCTATACAAGCA